CCCCAAAACCCCAAAACCCCAAAACCCCTTTAAGAACATTTGATTCTAAAAACAAGAATCCAAATTTAGTATTTCAAAAATAAATACTTAATAGGAAAATATTATCTTTTCTATTGTTGGATTTGCATATGCTGAGTCCCATAATTAAGAACTAATATTTCATGATCAATTTAATCAAGTCATCATCTCATTAACATCAATCAACCAATCACATGCATCCTTCATCACTTTTTAATAAAAGCCATCTTAATAAAAGAGAGCATGAACTGCATTTTCATAAGTAATAGTTTTATTTTTGGGATTCTTTAGCATTGCAGCAATTTCTCTAATGCGAGTATTCGAGACATTCAAATCGGTTTCTGCCATAGCAATGAAAAAGGGCACATTAGGAATATGCTCTAGATTTGCATTCATCTCATCTTGCATTGTTAAGGCAAACTCAGCCATGTGATATTAAATGAATCCAGTGAATCTAGGATCCTTAACCATATGCGCAAGAAATTCATCATATTCTTGTCCATTAGATGGCATTGGTATAGTTCTATTTTTAAATAGCTTACTAGCAATTTTCAGTCCAAATCTCTTGAAGAATCCAAATTATTTGTTCTCAGGCATATCAAACCAAGGCATATTTAGCATAGCACCGCAAAAGTAATCAGGTCTCATTTGCATCATTCTCATACCCAATAGGCCACCTAACGAAATTCCGAAGATAAATTTCTTGGCATCCTGAAGCTTGAAATGCTCAACTATTGAATCAACAAATCTCCATTAATCTCCCATTGGATCTGGCCCAGTTTCTCCTCTTGCACCCTCACTTCTTCCAAATCCATGTCTGTCAAAACCAAAAATTCTAAAGCCTGCCTTGGCAATGTCTTTAAAATATCCTCCATAAAAATCTTAAAATGCTCCATAGCCTAAAAACACAAATATGACACCTTTGAGCTCTCCTTCATTTGGGTATTCTACAGTGTGCAACTTGATATCAACTCCATTGACATATGTAGTTAAGTTTATCGGATTTTAAACTGGGAAATCTATTGGAGTAATCTTTAGAAATCTTGAGAGATAAGTCTCACCATCATGACTGTTGGGGTTTAGGCTTTGTCTGGATTCTACCATGTATGATTTAGTATTTCTAAAAATATAATTTGATTGAATTATTATGTTAACTATTTTTTCATTTCTCAAAAAATTATTTTATTTCAGAATTCATAAGTATTTCGGGGTTTTGGGGTTTTGGGG